TACAGTTTATCTTTGACAAGTACCCTTCATAAGGAGGCCTCTACATCTATTTTTGCTATTTCAGACATTTCTTCTTGTGATTGGTGTGGTGGGCGTGATGGTGGCTGCGATTCCTTGGATTGCTATACCTGTGATTCTGCTTGGCATCATTTTCTTTGTTCTCCAGTGGTATTTCTTAAGGACGTCACGAGATGTGAAACGCCTGGAATGTACAAGTGAGTACCAGGGCTCTCAGGTTGGGATGGGAGTGCCGGCTGGCTTCCATTTATGCCATAATTAACAAGACCCCTGAAATTCTGCAGACTCTGTCTTCTGGAATTTCTCACAAGTCAACGTTAGATAATTGAATGTTATGGCCACTATGAGTTGGCGTGGTTCTTAAGGTAAATAGAGCTGGTGGCAGGTCAGCTGCAGCTTTGCATTTTAGCACAAGGGGGATGGCTGTGAGCACCATGAGGACAGGGACCATTTCTGTCTTGTTCATGACATATTTCCTAACACGGAGTATCCACTCTGTAAATACTTTTCTTAAAGACATTTTATCATGTTGGAACTAATATAGAAGGGAAATAGATAATTTTTCTCCTCCTGAAGTTACCAGAAGTGACAAGGAAAGGAAAAGATTAGAAAAGTAAAGGAGACCTCATGAAATATATGTCGGAAATGATATATTTGAAAAGTACTTTTTTTCACATGTTCAAGTAAGTTGCAGTTGTTAAATGTGTTGAAAAGATATATGTTAGTCACTCAGTTGTGTCTGACTTCTTGCGACCCCATGGACAATAGCCCACCAGGCTCCTCTGTCCATGGAATTCTCCAGGCAAAAATATTGGAGTGGGTAGCCATTCTCATCTCCAGAGGATCTTCCCAGGCCCGGGGATTGAAGCCAGTTCCCTTTCATTGCAGGTGGATTCTTTACCGTCTGATCCACCAGGGAAGCCCTAACTAAAAGATAAGCCCTGTTATTTGCAGGTTTGCTCTTTATCATTACTAGTATTTGGGGTGATACCACACTGTGGCTCCCCCTTTCTTAAAGCTATTCATATAAATGATGCTGAAAATAATTCCTTAGGAGGACATGAGAGGGGGATCTGTTCAGTATACATTTAGTTTATTACTCCATTCAGCTTCCTAGTTTTAGAATAATGGGAATAGGGACTTTCCTGTGGTCCTGTGGTTAAGACTCTGTGCTTCTGCTTTAATCCCTGGTCAGGGAACTAAGAACCTGCAAGGTGCATCCAAAAAATAATAATAATAATGGGGATCACATTTTATGACTAATCATTCTATTGTGCAGGTAATCACAGATGATGAAATAATTGAATTTATCTTATTATTAATGCACATATTTCATCAATATTAAAACTAATAAAAGTAGAATTATTAGATATTTTTAAAAGTTATAAAAACTGTAGCCAAAAAGTAAGGTGGGAATATGTTCATATCAGAGACCTCAACCATAAATAATTATTACAAATTAATACTAACTTAATCTTCTAGAAACCAAGCCAAGAAGAGAAGAATGTTGAGCGTCATGTTTCTTTGTATCTATCAAGGGGGGAAAAAAATCTCAGTTATCCAGTCAAATGAATTTTTTCACTGTGGCAGTTGCATGTTTTGTTTTTATAATAAACACGTAAGATGCTTCCCTGTTGACTTCCAAATCTTCCTGAAATGCAGGAGACCTTGGTTTGAACCCTGGGTTGGGAAGTTACCCTGGAGAAGGAGATGGCAACCCACTCCTGTATTCTTGCCTGGGGAATTTCATGGAGAGAGGATCCTGGTGGACTACAGTCCATTGGGTCACAAAGAGTTGGACACGACTGAGCAACTAAGTTTCAGTCTTAAAGAAATATTTTCTAACTAGTTGCAAAAAGGATAGTGATCATCTGTTTCATAAAAGATGTAGAAGAAAATTTTCTGTCATCAAGAGAACCAGCTAACTTTTGTAAGGTCCAGTTTTGTGATGTTTTTGGATGTATGGGGAGCAATAGAGTCCAGGTGTGTGTGACGTTCTGCTGATGTGACTTGGTTGATGGAAGGACCTGGGGAGGCAGAAGAGGAATGATGAGCTCCATCCAGTCTTCTGTGAAGACAAGGCTTCAGACATTTTATGGTTTGAGCCTGCCCATGAAATTGGGTCTTTCGAGTCTTACTGAAAAGCAGCTCTCTGGTACATTCAACGAGGAGTTGTTCCAGAAGGAACACTTAACAGAGATTTTTGCCTGGGGAAGGGCCATTTCACATCCATTCGGAAGTGGAGAGAAGGGCACCTCTTGAGGCTTTTTTCAAGAAGGAGTACGGGATTTTCTCAATATTTGAGCTGGAGAGTCTGAGAACTTTGCATCATCTCTGTGGAATATGTGGATTTTCCTGCATCCTAGTACTCTGCAATAAGTCAGACACTAAATTCAATCCAGATATCCCTTCCTATACACCCCAGGTAACCAAATGTGGTGGCCAGTTGATTAGAACTGTTTATGTTCTCTCTAGGTGGTGGGTCTGTGCCTTAAATGATAACACCACTGTTTTCTCTAAATAGTGATGGAAAGTATGTTTTAGGGTTTCCCAGGTGGCTCAGTGATAAAAGGATCTGCCTGCCAATGCAGGAGATGCAGGAGAAATGGGTTCAGTCCCTAGGTTGGGAAGATTTCCTGGAAGAGGAAATGGCAACCTAGTCCAGTATTCTTGCCTGGATAATTCCATGGACAGAAGAGCTTGGTGGGGTACAGTCCATGAGGTCAGAAAGAGTCAGACACAACTGAGCGACTGAGTGAGGGAGAGTATATCTTCAGGTCCCTGCTGGAGCCACCAGCCAAAAGGACACCTGACTGCTGTGCCCAGAAGGAATAAGCCTGCTTCATCCCTGTGTTCTGAAGGACCACTGATGTCCTGAGGTTTAGTTTCAGATCCTACTCCTAACTGCCTCTGGAAGCTTAGGTTGACATTTTCATCTTAATGACATTTGGCAGCTAATTATAATAGGGTTTTGAGGGGCACATTTTTGCAAAGGTGAGCATAGCAATGGACAAGTACATAAAACCAGGGTGGCATTTGGTTGCATTTCCCTAACCAGTTTTTTGCCTTTGGCAGTGCCTGAATGATGAAGTTGTATCCAAATTCTGTCTGAAAGGTGCTGGGATCAACTAGCAAGGTCTGCTACAAGCATTTCTAGGGGAGGGTTAGGATGTGTGTCAGGTGTATTAGTACCATGGATCTTCAAGTCTGCTGTTTTAAGGGGTTCTCATACTAGATTCCCAGGAACTTTGTTCAATAAGATGTGCAGTAGTGGTGAAGGTTGTTGGATGGTACCTGAGGGTTTTCTGAACATAAATAACAGTATGGAGAAAAATGCACATGGTCACACACAAGCATCCTTAACCCTGATAATTCTCCCTCTGAGACACTGCTATTGTGATTAAAAGTACAACCTTGGGATTAAGAACTATGTCTCACACCCAGGTCTGTCACTTTGGTGGATTAATATAGTTAATCTTGGACAGTCAGTGCTCTTAATCCCTCAGACTCTGGTGTTCTCATGAGGATTTCTTGAACTGATGCTTGTGAAGTACTTGCTGGTCATGACCAAAGGCACTGGAACTTTGAACATGAGGCAATCAAGAACTTACTCACGACTAGCAGATCTCACGTGGCTTGAATGATCATCTGCAGCAGGGCTGTCAGCTTGGGGTCGTCCTGCCCAGGAAGATCTGCAGTCCTGGTGGGGTGTGTCCCCAAGTGTACTCAGGGCTGTGGGAACCACAGACATCAGTCCTGTGAACTGTAGGGTTACGTGTGTCTGTGACTGTGAACTGACACCATGACTGTGACATAGTCTGCTTCAGTGTGGCGAACTCAGTGCTTGGGGGAAAAGTATTACTTTGGACAACACAGCACCAGAGCCTTGATATCCCCTCACCCTCTGTACTAGCTGATTTTCTATGCAGACCCTCCAGTTCACTCATCCTGGCATCCTGCTCAGCCCTAAATGGGGTTTGAGAGAAGCAGGATAGATTTTTACAGGCCCAGATTCCTCCAGCCTGTAACTCTTGGGCATGAGGTGAGGTAGGTGATGGGTGTTTGGTTCCCTGGTATTCAAGGCTGAGATGACACCTGGTTTCTAAAGTCAATCCTGACCTCCATCCCTGCTGGAGAGAATCAGCTGCACTTTGATCTCCTGACAGGGAAGCAGGTGAGGGAGGCCACACTGGAGTTCATTCCAGACTCTCCCTGGAGGAACAGCCATGTCTACTTCCTCCTCAGAAGCCTTGTCTGTGATGGATAGTGTTGATGACACCTCATTTGCTCAGGAAATGAGAGCCTGGTTCTAGAGAGTTTTCTGTGCTCTCTGGAGCTGGACTCTCGCCATCCTTCTGACAGGGTGATGGGCCCTGAAATACCCCTGAGTCATCCCTGTGAGCACCCTACTTCCAGACCAGGTTCTGGGGGTGGGTTGGGACACCTGCTGGGCTGCAGAAAAGGCCTAAACACAGTCTCTTGCCTTTATTATTTGGAACATGAGCTCCATCTGAGTTTATTTTGCTCTTATAAGCACAATGTTTTAGGAAGCTAAAAAGTTAGTCAGTACAGTAAAGAGAGAGAGCAGTGTGGATGCTGGAATGAGAACATAGGTACTAAACTGGATGAACAAAGGCACCACCGAGTCACTTTCAGCTCTTTGTGTGAAAAAAGGACAAAGGAAAGTGTTAGATAATGTCATGGTTCAGAGATCTAGCAGGGCAGTTATGAAAGCATCCATCAGGTTCCTGGAGCGGAAGTCAAGACTGTTCAAAGACTCCTCATCTGCCGGGTCCTGTGGGCACAAGGGCGGCGCAGTACCGGGTGCTCCGTGACCCGCACAGAGACTCCTGGCGCAGGTGCAGGGAGAGTCCCCGGATGGGGAGACGCCTGACTGTCTGCTCCCTTGCTCGTCTCCCCCTGTCCTGGGTCTGGCTCTGGTCCAGGGTGGGGGAGGTACCGACTCTATCCCAGCCCTTAGGCTACTCATCTAAGGAGGAGACACCACACAGGGAGCTCATTAAAATTCAGTGTGGTGAGGACCCTGATGAGAATTAAATTTTAGAATGCTGCTGATTCAAAAATTAGTGAACAGTGAAAAAGAATGAAATATCACCATTTGAAGCAACATGGATGGACTTAGAGAATATTATTTTAAAAAGTCAGAGAAATACAAATATGGTATCACTTATACATGGAATCTAAAAATAATACAAACGAACATGTACACAAAATAGAAATAGACTCAGAGACATAGAAAACAAACTTACCAAAGGGGGTTGGGAGGGAGGGAGGAACAAAGTAGAAATATGGGATTAATGGACACACTATTATTTGTCAAACAGGTATGCAACAAGGATTTACTGTAAAGCACAGGAAATTTAATTCAGCATCTCATAATAACCTGTAATGAAGTATAATCAAAAAAATAACTGAATGACTATACTATATACCTGAAACTAACACATTATTGTAAATCAACTATACTTCAATAATTTTTTTAAAAATTGTGAACAATTTCCATCTGGGGAGATGCCAGAAGAATTTGGAGGGAGGTATGTTTGAGAGGACCTTGATTAAAGACCTGGAAAGAATTTCTTTATCTAAATCTAGCTGTGAATGAATTTGGTCAAACATAGTTTCAAAGAGAATCTTTCATTCCCAGGTGATTAAAGTGAAACCTGATGTGAGCAGGAGTGAGGGTCACATGGAGGATTCCTATTGGTGGGACGTGTGACCACAGAGTCCAGGAGTCAGTGGGTTTCCTTGCCTCCAGCCTCCCTGACCCTGTTGTGTGTCTGTCTCTGCTTCCCCAGCACGGAGCCCAGTGTTTTCCCACTTAGCATCTTCTCTGCGGGGACTCTGGACCATCCGGGCGTACAAAGCTGAACAGAGGTTTCAGGAGCTGTTCGATGCATATCAGGATTTGCACTCAGGTCTGTACGTTTCTGGAAATGATTTCAGATGTGATGTGCTGCCTTCTGAGGCCTGACCTCCATCTCAGGTGGTCTAGTAGGTCAGCACCTCTCTCTCTGTCACCCCCATGTCCCCCTCTGCACACCTGCCTCCCCCACCCTTCCTCTCAGCATCCCCTGTGCTCCCTTCTTCCCCGTCACTCCCTGCTTTTCTCCCCTGACTGGCTTGCATTGTCCTTCCATCACTGTGCCCTGTGGACTTCTGTCTCTTTAGGGCAGGACTCAGTAAAATTTTCTTTTTTGCAAAGATCCAAATAGAAAATATTGTAGGTTTTGTGTGCTATACTGTGTCTGTTGCAACTACTCACTTTGGCTGTTGTAGCACAAAGACAAGCAAAGATAATACGTCAGCGAATGTCTGTTTTCCAATAAAATTCTCTTTTCAGAACCAGGTGGTCACTGTTCTTGTTCCCTAGGCTGTGGTTTGCCAGTTCTTTTCACAGCATGGAGGGTAGCAGATGTGATTGACAAAACGGAATTTCCTGAGTTGCCACCCACTTGATTATACTTTGTATCAGTGAAGTTGTTTTTCCTAGGTAGAAAATTCAGAATTTCCCCTAAGTCTATAAAATCCTGGTCAAACTTTTCAATTGTTACTGCATTTTTTTCCATTTATTTTTAGTAGTTGGAGGCTAATTACTTTACATCATTGCAGTGGTTTTTGTCATACATTGAAATGAATTAGCCATGGATTTACATGTACTCCCCATCCCGGTCCCCCCTCCCACCTCCCTCTCCACCCGATCCCTCTGGGTCTTCCCAGTGCACCAGGCCCGAGCACTTGTCTCATG